GGGCGGGGGTTCGAGGCCTCTGCCCCGAGCCTGGGGCGCAGGAGACGCGGCACCCCGGGGAGCTGGGAGCAGCTTTTGGGGGCCCGCTTTGAACAGGTCAGGGGGGCCCTGAGCGGTGCGAGGCGTTCGTTGGGCTTTGCAGGCCTTGTCCTCGCCGAGGCTGGGCCGTCAGGGCCTTCCCGGGGGTGCCGAGCAGTTCAGGGGGCTGGGAACAGAGACCTTCGGTTATGGTGAAATATATACAGAAATAAAGAGGTACAGTGAAAGGCTTAGACTCGCATTACTCTGAGTTTTAACCCTCATCTGCCTAAAAGGAGGGGATACTTTTTACCATTAGTTATTACTTTTGCTAATAGTTTGATGTCAAAGGCCAGGTGGTCCAGTGATTTCATTACCTATCCTTACTCTGGTGAAGGGGGTAGGAGAACCTCCTTTGAAAGAGGAAATTCTGCTGCTTTTTGCAGCAAGGTGGTCAAGGTTACCTCTCTTCCCTGGCACACTGCATATAATTGCCCAGAAGAGACAGCAATCTTCAATATATGCAAAACCTACTTGTATTTAAACAAAATCCCTGAACATCCAAAATGCAAACCTATTTCCCTTCCTGCAGGAAGAGCCATTTCTTTCCTTCTTTGTACCCTTAGGTCTCATCTGCGGATTCTCAGACAGCTGTAGATTCCTATTCTCATCTCCCTAAAAGAGGACAAAGCATAAGATATTCAGGTTTGCAGTTAGTAGGCTCAGCTTTTCATATAATACAAGAATCTCAGGCTTCATTAAAATCAAAATTTGAAGATTACTGTGGGTAATCCAAAGTGCAAGACAGTCTGCTGAAGGCCTGCAGTACTTCTGCTGCGAGGCAGAAGTTGGAGAACAACCAGTATCTCGTGTACACACAAGTTTGATAAAAGTTACTGGTTGTATGCAGAATGCTACTTCACATATTTCCTGCCTCTCACCTGCTCTGATGTCTCCCCCAACTCACCCCCACGCTGTGCCTGCTCTTTACTTCGCATCTAGAAGGAACAGGAGCTGGAGAGTGAATGGCACTGCTGACAACTTTATCTGAGAATAGACTACAGCTCTGTCCTGTGTTATACTGTGGCCTTTCAGGTTAATGGCCTTTTTGGGGGAGAGTTTTGTTCTCCACGAAGCTTGTGCTTGTGAGACCAATGCTTAGGTCCCAGCCTTAGGAAGTGGGTAAGTCAGTCTCAAGCTGGGCAGCCTGAAAATGAGGTACCCTGATTCTGGAAGTCTTGACTCGGCCTTCCTACCTCCATTCTGTTCTGACTTGCCTGGAGTTGGTCATGCTTAGTTCAACATAGCCTCTCCTATCATAGCATTTCAGACAAAACCAAAAACCACTTCCAGTTTACAAACTAGGCCTCATGCCTGGGGTAGCTCCAAAACTGAAGAAATGTTGACCATATTTTAAAGTTGTTAAAAGCAGAAGCAGCAGCAGCAGCATTTTGTTCAAGTCATGTTTTGCAGACAGCTTGTGCAAAGAGAGCATGTTTCGGCAATATAGAATCGTCTCCCTTCAAAAAGGTGCATTCAAAGTAATTGCAACTTATTTTGGGGGTAAGTAGAGTTACAGCAGGAGTCTGAACCATGGAAAAATGAAAGTGCTACAGTCTCGTCACCAGTTAAGAAATACAATTAACAGTGAGTGCATAACTTCTGTTTCTTTAGGAAAATATTAGACCTCAGTGAATCTTTGTTTAAAAAACTTCAATTCTTTGGTAGAGCACGTAAGACTAATTGCTGAATTTCTCTAGTTTGACTAAAATGATTTTGTTAACCTTTTCCTTTTGGAATATTGGTGCCCTTAGCCAGTATCTCAGCAGGCTTAAAGTGGCATAACTTCACTGAAATTAATGTGCTATAGCAAAACTATAATGCTCAAGAGGCTGACAAAATAATGCCATTAGAAAAGCCTCACTCACTTTGATTCAAAATTAAGACTTTTAGGAACATAGTTTTTTAAAAATATTTAAATATTTTTTAAGTACTTTTGATTTTTAGGAAGTCTTTCAGGCTTCCTCCCACCTCCACTTCCCCCAGTGTTCATCTGTTTTTCAATGTTGCATTCTGTTTCAGACATTCACCGGTAATTTTGTCTACTATATTCAATCTGTGCTCCCAGATGACATTGTGAAAACAGTACTGGAGAAAATAGGTTACATTGCAACAACAGCAACAGAGTTTTCACTTGTCAAAAAGAGAAACAATGAGGAAACAAAGCAGACTGCATTTGAAATATTCCTGGCAAGAATTGAGTGTGAAACCATCCTCAAAATGACAAATGAGGAAAAACATGGCAATTTGGAGAAGACCCTACAGAAGAGAACACAAATGCACCGGCATCATGGAGATAAGGACAAAGAGGATCAGACAGCCCAGAGAGAAGACGCTGAAAATCTAGAAAATAAAGGAAACAATGAGACATCTTTGTGCCTTGTTACTCAACAAAAGTCTTCAACTAATAGTGATATATCGTTTGAAGCTGCTGGGAATCTGAAGATCAAAGATGACATGCCTCAGTTAACAGTTGCCCAATCCGCTAACAGGCTTCAGGAAGACCAAAGGCAAGTCATTAACACTGTACATTTTCCGGGCAAATGCTCAGACAGTGAGGACTTCTTGATCAAATATAGTGACATTGTCATAAGGCAAACACCTATTTTCAGTGAGAATCTTTCTCCAAAAGCTTTTGAAAAAAAGCCAAGAGCCAGTCTGAGTGAAGAATGTGTTTTGGCAGTCACTGCAGAGTCAACTACAAATGAGATCAGGCCTGTGCCACTCTCACCAGGAGCAAGCGGTCCGCCAGCCTTTGCAATATTTCCTGACAGCTCTTGTGACAGCCAAAACGCTTTAGAGTACAAAGCTCAAGAAGTCCCCGAAGAATCAATTGAAGCAGAAATTAACGATGCCATAAATTGCATAGACCCGGACCCCGCAGAGGAACCCTATGAGCTTAAGTCTCTGCCGTACAAGGACATTGCATCTGTCCAAAACATCAGTGTCCCCAGGGAAGAGGAAGTTTGTGAGCTGTCTTTAACCTTCACAAAACTACAAATCAGGGACACTGAGGAAGACCTTGCATATCCAGTAGAGGAAACTGGCCAGCCTGAGTCAGTATCATATGCAAGTGACAGGAATGTAAGAGAATTTAATAATTCCAAAATAAAACATGCATATCTGACTAATGCTCAGATGCATAACAGAGCAGCTGCACACAGTGAGCCATCTTCAGATCTATGCTGTACTACTGGGAACATGGAGGATCCCGCTACTGGTTCTGATAGCAAGAGACTATTAATGGATACTTCTCATGCGCATACAGCCTCTGAGTGCTTCAGACATATTAGAGAGCCCCCTAACCTCACCTACATCCCACCACAGAGTATTGATGTTCGGTCTTCACACATAAGAAGGACCAGCGCACCGGGCAGAAGGAACCTTTTGCAGCCTGAACATGACTCTTCTGAATCCAGTGAAGTAAAGCTGGAGACCTATAATTCAAAAGTACATGAAATCCAGGAGCCTTATGTCATTGTTGACAAAACTGACCAAGGAATGTTATGCCATCACACTTGATTTTACCAGTACTTTATTTGTAACCTGTCCAGGTTTCTTCCTCTCACTTGTGGCCTTGATCATCTTTTCAAGGAGATGATTAGCTTTGTCAAAACAGTTTAAAAAAAAAAAAACCAAAAAACAAAAAAGCCCCACTTTTGGACAGTAAAAAAGGGAGGTAGTTGAGCAAATTCTTAATGCCCCCTTCTCGACTAGAACCTTTGGCACTGGAATGGTCACCTTTCTAAAGCGTAGGCAACTTACATCGATTTTCATAGAATCATAGAATGGTTTGGGTTGGAAAGGACCTTAGAAATCATCTAGTTCCAGCCCCCTGCCATGGGCAGGGACACCTCCCACTAGCCCAGGTTGCTCAAAGCCTCATCCAGCCTGGCCTTGAACCCCTCCAGGGATGGGGCATCCACAGCTTCTCTGGGCAACCTGGGCCAGTGCCTCACCACCCTCACAGGAAAAAACTTCTTCCTAAATTTTTAATCCATTTAATTCATTAGCCAGATTCCTTCTGGCTGTACTTAATGCTAGAAAGGCTTCTTCAGTTAAGCACACTTATGCTTTTTTTTTTCTTTATAGACCTATTCCTGGAGTATTCTTTGAGTATAGCATGTTGTACAATGACAGAAACAGTTAAATGTTTCTAAACTGGAAGGCCCAATTTTATAGTTTTACAAATGCTATACTGGACTATACTTCTGTTAACTCGTTACATTCCTATGAAGCTGTGCTCCGAGTTAATCCTCCTGTTTTCAGTTGAAAATAAGTTTAGAAAGCTTTATAATATTCCTTTAGGTTTAAAGAAGGAAACAGCCCTGTGAACACTTATTTTTGCATATGAACAGTTTAGATCGTATAAGGGCAGTAACCTGCATTACAGGTTTTACACCTGTCTCCACTTGTTACCAAAATTTTTTGTGTCTACCACCACAAAATTCAAGAGCAGCACTGAGTATGGTAATCGTTCACTGCCACCAGAAGAATGAGATCCAGCTACTGCTGCCAATTCCCTTGCCCCTGGTTCCTGACACGTAACTCTGCACCAGCTCTGGAGTGCACTGGACTTTTCTGTAAGCCAGTTCATCTCTAAAATAAATGAAGGGGAAAAAACCTGCCATTCTCTGCCATTTTAGTGGCAGGAAAGAAATCGGATCAGAGAAGGGTCCCAGTGAGCACTGGAGCCGGGATAAGGGAGATCCTGTAGGTGGGAGTGCTGTGTGAAAAGCATTGTGCTGAGGAAGGAAAGTAAGCAGGATTGTTAGATGAGCTGTAAGCTGGAGTCCCAGCACTGAGAACCTGTCTTACACAATATTTGATTAAATTTATGAAAGTACACAGTCACCAGTACTGTATTTCAGCACCATCTTCAATGTTTCTTTATACACTTGTTATCTAGAAAGTTTAATACTGCTTCAAGTAACTTTTCCAGCAGCACTTCAATACTAAGAATGTTTTGTTGTTTCATGTAGAGTATTAGCTGAAATTAATTTGGTATAAATTGTTTATAATTGAATTTTGGGGGGATGAAAGTCAAAGAGGAGCACATGGATTACACTAGAAAAACCTCAGGAGCTAAAATGTAAAGATCTGCATTTTGAACAACTAATTGTTGAAGTCCTGTCACCACCCAATCCTAGCAGTATAGGAGCAATAAAACTTTGACCGACCCAACATCAAATGACAGGACTGCCTTCAGCTTTGGGTGGGGTTGGGAGAAACAGGTATTATGAACAGACACACACTGAATAATACTTCTGTACTGGCTCTGGCTAGGATTGAGATAATGTTCTTAACAGCAGCCCCCGGGGTGGTGTGTTTGGGATTTGTGGCTGAAACTGTTGATTTTTCGACACCAGTGTTTGGCTATTGCCGAGCAGTGCTTGCACAGTGTCACAGCTTTCTAACTATACCCCTCACCCCACAGTGAGTAACACGGGGAGAGGACACAGGTGGGAGAGCTGACCTGAACTGGCCAAAGGGATATACCATACCATATAACATCATGCCTGGCAATAAAACTGGGGTACCAGAAGGTGGAGGTTTTTTTGTCTATCAAGGTGGCCATTGCTCAGAGCCTGGCTGGTGGGAAGTGGTGGATTACTGCCATTGTATCACTTGCTCCCCCCACCCCCACCTTCCCTTCACTTACTAAACCTCTGTCATGACCCAAAAGCTCTCTGGATTTTGCTCTTCATGTTCTCCCCTTTCCTGCTGGGGAAGGGGGGAGCAGCAGCTGTGTAAGTGCTTAGCTGCTGGCTGGGGCAACCCACCACAAGCTCCTTGCTCTTCTTTCAAGTACTTATCTGTTCTTCCTAACCATTTTGGTTTTTATAAGCTATATTTCACCCCTGTGGGTGTTATTAAAATTATGTGTTTTAAATCTCATTGTGTCAGTTATTCAGGAACTCTTAATTTAAAACTGCAAAAAACCCTTCTCATCACAATTGAAGGGTCTCCTAAGTATCTAGATGACCAGGATTCATATACCTAACATCCCATTTTTATAATTACAATAGCTGTATGAGGAAAAGTACTTAACAGCAATTTACACATGGAAAACCAATACAAAAGGCAACTAAAGACTACTACTTGAAAAGACGGGATCCTGGGCATCTAACTCCATTAAAGCCATACTGCTGGCCTTCATTAAACTTGTCCAGTTAACATCTACTGTGAGAAACACTCTTAAATCTTTATTAAACTTCCCCTGATGGGCCTGTGCACAGTTGCTTCTGTCTTGATGGTACCTGGCATACAGGAGACCTAGATCTTCACTTTGCCCATGTCTGAGCATCGTTTTGGACCAGCATCTTCCATGTCCAGGAGCTTCTGAACAACCTCACATGGGGAAAAAAATAATACAGAGTCCTTCAGAAGTGCAGAAGCATAGTCCTCGCTAACAGTGCACTGCAGTCCACAGCTCCACCAAGTCACAGGAACACCAGTGGAGATAGTAATGGTATTATAATTAATACACTTTTCGTTTCTGAACAATGCCCAAACAGTTAAACTACACAAAATGTATTAAAGATAAAATTGCCATCTACTTTTGGTTAATGTTTGAGTACCTGGATTGAGGAAGAATCTCCTTTTTATGGCAGATTGGCCAGCACTGGTTAAGTGTTCTGCCTGCCTTTGCAGGGAGAGCTGCTATGCACTTAAAGTCTTCTGGATAATTTCATCTGAATTTCTTATTGCTGCAAGAACACCTTGAGCTTCCCTTCCTGTACAAATGGTAGGCTTTTGAGGTCATGTACTAGAAATTACTTTCGTATTTGCAAATTTCTGGGGTTTCAACTGCTTTACAGTTAGATGTTTTGTGAAGAGACAGGATTTGAAAACCAGCTGAAATAAAAGTCATATTTAATAGGCCTTAGGCAGCAGTCCTTTGTGCTTTCACATGAGTAAGACAGAACTGGGTTCAAAATCCTTGTTGTAAATACAGTCAGACCTGAGAAGAGGGTCAGACAAAAGGGACAGTGAGATTTCTGACCCCATCTGCCAGTGCCCTCCTGTCCCTCTTGGTAGTAACCACTGCACCTCTCCTTGGCTAATTAACTCAAATAAGAGCAACCACTCAAGCCTCGCTGCTAGCCAGCAAGAGGGCTGCCTGGCCCCTTTCTAAAGGAAGGTGATCTGTGTTTGCAAAACGCATGCCTAGCCTCTGGTGAGCTATCAACTTTAATTGTGCTACAGCTGGTCCTGATTGTCTATGAATTGAATGGGGATTTACTGACCGATTGGAAGTCTTTCCATCAGAGACATAACACCAATTCTGTTCCCAAATTTATATGCTACACACAACCACTTCGAAGGGCTAAGCTCTCCCAAGCCTTGGATTATAGAAATTCTCTTTTGATCAGTGCAGAGAGCTCAGGCAGCAGACCTGGTAGCTGGGTGATACTCATTCACACAACCCCTCCCTGCTGGGTCTCTTAACATTCATAGCACACATGCCCCCCTGCCCTGTCTGGAGCAAAGGTGCTCAGGAAGCAGAGCTTGATTTTAGAACAAACTTTGTTGTTTTTAAAGCCAAGAACGAAAACCAAATCTCAGTGTTAAGACCAAAAAAAACAACCCACACCACTTAAAGCCAAGAACGAAAACCAAATCTCACTGTTAAGACAAAAAAAAACAACCCACACCACAAAAAAAAAAAAAAAAAAAAAAAAAAAAAAAAACACACAACTGGATAGCACGCAGATACTAAATGAAAAAAAAATTACAATTTGTTCGGAATTACCAAAAAAAAAAAACCACAACTGGAAAGCATGCAGATACTAAATGAAAAAAAATTACAATTTGTTCGGAATTATGATAGTCTTAAAAAACAATTCCTTGAGACAAAGCATACCTGAGAGGAACTGGCAAGGGCTTGCAAAGCACTGATGAAGGTACACGTTTCTACTGTTCAGAGCCATCTCACCACAAAAAGACAATTTCTGAAAAACTTTTTTATAATTTTTTCCTTAGTTGTACCTAAACGCTGGGAGAATGATGAAGGTACACGTTTCTACTGTTCAGAGCCATCTCACCACAAAAAGACAATTTCTGAAAAACTTTATCATTTTTGTCCTTACTTGTACCTAAACACTGGGAGAATAACCACCAGTAACCCACCACCACAGCTAAAGGTCCCATCCATTAGAAATTTATTGGCACAGCTGTCTAAGTGAGATAGCTGATTAAATCCCACAAGGCCCATTTCACAGCATTAAATAGTAAAAAACTGAAATTAGGATTGGATGGAATATAGTGACATCTGCAGAGCTGCATACTCACTGTGAAGTGCTGACAGCTCAATGCAGGAGTGTATCCCTGTTACCAGGCACAGGGCTCTAGGGTAGAGCAGAGTTCAACTCCAAGCCTTCTGGCATAGAAATAAGTAAAATCAAGTAGTATGCATGCAATACACAGGTAACAAACCCAGCTCCTCTGTGTTGTCACTCTCCTTATTGAACTTTTGTATGTGTTCAGAGATCACTCTTGTAGGTGTACGTTTACACAACACTTAGCAAAATGGTGCCCTGATCCCAATACAGCACAAACCATTATTACATGCCAGCCTCTTTAAAAAGTGATCAATTAAAAAATGGATCTGGACTAGACAGAAGACTACTTTTCTCTTATGTAAGAATTAATCTACAGACTGCTAGTTTTTGTTCTGAAACTAAACTTTTCATTCAAAAAAAGCTCACAACTTTTTGTCAGCCCCCTCAAATGCCTGGGGGATGGGACCACCACCATAATTCTCACCTGACTTTATCCTGCTTTAGAAATGCACAATGTTTTTAAAGCCATGAATTGAAGGACTGGATTCTCCAAGTCCTGAAGCAGGTCAGTAACTTGCTAGGAGAGCGATTATTCAGGAGAGGGGCAGAGACCTTCAGGTCTGAATCTTTTAACAGCAACTGATGGCAGAATGCCCAGCACTTCTACAGTCTGCAGGAGGAACTGCACTCAGGAGAGATGCTGGATGGTATCCTGGTGTTGGCAGTAGTTTTGTGTGCTAGTTACACTGGTAAAAACAATTTTCAAGGTTTCTTAAGACCTACAGTTTTGGACAGTCACCTCTGTTTAATCAAACAGGGAAGATCTCCTAAACATGCTTCCCATGCTAGAAGAAATACACAAAAGGCCAACTGTTTAACATTTTAATTTTTGCAAGTCTCTCTCTTACTTCAAATCAGTTTATAATGCTGCTCCCAGATGTTACTCATTTGCTAAGACACCTTCGCCAGGATAAAGTAAATACCAAAGTCTGGAGAAGTCATCATCTATCCAGACTAAGTACACAGTAAAGAAAAGGCAATACAAAACTTAGTAATCATTTTTCACACATATTGCAGTGTAGATGTGGAACTCATTGTGACAGATAACTAAAAATGCAATTTTTACTTATGTATTCCTACAATATACTCCAGAATACCCAAAATTTATCCATAAACAGTTATGCATGGTTCACTCTACAAATATAGGCTACATCCAACTTATGGACTAAAATCTGAAAAGCAAGAGAAGTGGCAGCTTGTTGATATGAGCCATTCCACTGGTACTCAAGTTCAGTCTGCCTACAGAAACAGAACACTTTCTATGTATTTTGCAACTTGCTACCCAATCACTGCTTCTTGGATAGTCAGAAAAGGAATAAAATATTTATCAGAATAATGCTGATTGCACTCCTTTTCCCTCTCCTCATAAACTCAGAGATTTTAGGAAACAAAATTCTGGGCTTAAAACCAGCTGTTTATGATTAGTACAGGATTTTTATCTACACATCTCTATCAGACTGCAAACATTTTACATTTATGACACATAACAAGCGACCTGTTTGGTTTTGTTCCCAGTTCTCATTAAATACCCCAAACTTCCTATACATGAAAATTAACAGATAGCAAAACGTAAAATAAACATGTTCCCTATAGCCACCATGTAATTTTTAATAAATAAGTTATATAAATTATTACTGTATAGTCCATTGTAATTATTTATATCAATAACCCACATCCAAACTACTGCTTTGATATAATGAAGAAAAAAAAAATTTGACCAAAAAGCATACATTGCTTTCAAAAGCCAGAAGATAACAGCGAGGTTCTTTGTCCTTTAAGATTCTCTGTACAAAACAATTGCATGTTCTTTTCTGGACTGTGTGCAAAATATACACCCTTGGCTTCTACAACCCGTAATAAAACTGCAATTAAGAACAAAATGCAGATGACTGAACTTCAAATTTATAGGACTATTTCCAAAGAAATAGTTCTTCTGTTCTCTTACAGGAGAAAAAACTTTGAATTTTACTGAAGTTTTCAAGAATGACTACAAATAAGCTTCAGTATGTAATATAATTACTTAACACACAAAATCTTATTTTTAAACTAGAATTCTAAAGCTTTACAGCAGAACAATAGAATGGTAATACTGGGCTCACAAGCTTTAGTATACTAATATAGTAGTACTTCACTAGGAAATGGCACTCTCAGTGCACTGTTCATTACTAACTTGTACCGATTTGGAAAAAAAATATCCCACCAGATGGAAATAACCAGAAATGAACTGCATTTCCTGACTTGGAAAACAGTGTAGTCATTTCAATAGAATGATTTTTAGACGTACCACAAAAGCAGCTACCACAAAACTACAACATAAAAGTAGTGATCTCCAGAAGTAATACTACCAGAGATTGTTCAAAATCAGGTGAAACATGGAAAAGCCACGTAACTGAGTATTTATGTCTGCCAGTAAGTTACAGACAAATGTCTGCAATAAGTTATCAAAGTACTAACTGAAGTGTTGGACATGACCCATTTTTAGGAGCATTCACTACAAAGCTATGACAGATGCTCAACTACATTAGTATAAGTGTATTTTAAAGCACTGTTAACCTTGCTTGCTCCAATTCAACCAACCAAAACTATTGTGGAAAAAAAAATTAATATACCAAAGTTCAGGAATCATTTCCCTCAAATTAAACAGAAAAAGTAATGTGAAAACAGTCAGAACTGCTGCATTAAAAGGATTATCTTGAAGACAACACTCAAGGGTAAAGCAGAAATTAAGAGCAAGTCAATACTTCAGCTAACAAGTGCAAGAATGAAACCCCCACCATGTTTCTATCCTCTCCAAGTACCTGTAAGTCACAATAAACTGATCAAGATATAAACACAAATAACCATCTGTATTCTTTATAAAAAACAGTACGATCAAAGAATCCAAAACAGTTAAGAAATCAATTAATTCTATTTTTTATAACCATTTGAAAGGAACAACACATACAGTTCTATGCACCCTGTATTCTCACTAGTTTTCAACTCAGCCATGGTGCAGTGATTTCATGAACACCAGGCAGAAATAAGCCCTTTTAAAAACATGGCTTAAAAACAAAGCCTCAGAGCCATTCTGCAATCACTTACGAAAACTGTTATTCTTTTTGTTTACCACTGAATTCAGTGGGACTATGCCAGTGCATAGTTACCTTCAGAACTACAGCTATAGTGTGATTTCATGTCAAGCAGAATAAACTTACTGAATTCAAGGAAATTGCACTAGTGTAGGTAAGATTAGAGTAAGACCTCAATATTTCAACCTGATAAGACCTATTTAACAAAGGTACTTTAACTTGATGCACTTCATTTGCTTCCTCTAATAATAAAAGAGGACATCCCACCTCTTGTATGGAACTATTTATTTCAAATTACAAAAATAGGGTTGTCTTGGGGGAAAAAAAAAGAAGAAAGTTGTTTACAGGAAGCAACAGTGGGAAATGGGAGAAATAGCTGTATTTCAGCTGAGTAGAACTGACACAGTCAAGCTGATAGAGAACCTAAAAACATGAAAGGGAATTGGCCTATAGCCTGTCTATGACTTGTTTCTGAACATTTCATAGCAGTAAGTTCACAGCATTCTACAAAGCATAATTTAAAAGCAAAACACATTCTATTTAGAAATATTAAAAATACTCAAAATTGCCCCCAAATCAGACTTCATAAACATGCTTTCTTTCAAATACAACAACTGCAGACTTCTATAAATGTTGTTTCATATTATATGGGCTTAGTATTTGGTCCCGGTTTTCTTCATACTTTTCTATCATTTTCTGCATGTCATGGTCAGCTCCAATAACCTTGAAAAGAAGAACATGACCATTAGAAATAATTGATACCATAAAACATGGTTGCTTTTGAGCAAAATAGAACAGGACTAGCACTGAAGCCAAACCAATATACTCCTAGAGATCTGTCAAATTCTGTTGAGAATTTGTTACTTACTGAAAAGCAACACGTCTGATCCTGCAACCACAGTGAACAGACCCTCAAATTCCACCAAACCGATGGAAGACCAGGCGATACGCGATACGCTACGGATAGCTGTAAACATTTTTCTGAGGTTTTCCTTCTCCAAAGGTTATTCAAAAAGCTGATTTATTTACTTTTACCACTAAATAACACTCTTAATACTAGAAGAGTACAATCCTCCATATGTTTAATTGGTTATAACTAAAATAATACTCACAAGCACTGGGCAGGAAACTTTAAACAGTGTATGTTTAATGAGCCACTCTTCATAGAGATGATGAATAGCTTGTAAATATTCCTAGAAAAGAGGCATTCAAATAACACATATGCCCAGGGATGGAACACACATTGCAATTTTTATATATTTGGTAAATAGTTGAGAACTACATATAAAAGCCAACATCAGATATTTCCACTAACAAAAGTAAAAAGCATCAGAAGGTTTCTGAGAAAAATTAATTCCCAGTGTAAGGTTTTACTCCATGAAGAACCTCAAAGACACAGAGCTTACAGAAGCACAGGGATCTCACCTCCTTTTAAGATAAAGAAACACGTTTCTCTCCCATAGGTATAATCTGGCTTAAGATTTTACAGAGAAAAACACCACAAAGAGAAGGACAAAAAGGGTAAGACTGCGAAGAATATGAATTGAAGGCACTTTCTCTGTCAATACATTTTCCTAAAATTCCCAGTTCACTTCCTGCTAACTCTGACTCTATGTCCTCTAAAAGCACTTCTGCCTGTCATCAACTCTTAGTTTTTTTTTCTTGGAGACCACTTAACATTTTTCATTCATAATTGGTCCCCCCCACCTCTCAGTAGAACTGCAAAGTAACACAATGTCTTTTCAAATCCATTACAGCGAGGACTTAATGGCCCAAAATTTAGCTCTCTGTATATATCTTTAACGGACAATTGCTTCTACTGAACTCCCCAACAGAGGTACCTTTGTAGTATTCAGTGTGTCTTCTGTAACTATGTTTCTTTCTGGTTAGGCTTTCTTTAGGATAACATTTGTTTAATGAAGGGCCATTCTGTAAACCATGACACAGAAAGTGATCATTCAATTTCTACAGTTTATTTTTAAGCAGATTCCCATGCTAACAATTTTCAGAAGTTGCTTGTTTTCAGACACAAGCAGAGACACTTTTCATGCATAAGCATCCCAGTAATAGCAGACAACAGAAAGTGCCCACGTAAATCTTCCACACCTGCATGCACAGGTATTTGTGCTTCAGTGGGTACCTTTATGCCATTTAATGATACCAAAGCAATTGTCTTTTTACATCTTAGAGAAGATTAACAGTTAGATTAATACTCCACCAGAACAGTCAGCTGTAGTAGACTGATTACTAAAACATAACACTTGGGAAAGTCAGTTTGCATAATAGATAATTTTTATAAAATAAATCAAAATTAAATAGCGACATTTCAGTTTACAATGGAAACAGCTGCACCTCATTGTGGCAATACACCTGGGATATGACTGTAGTATTTAGATTGGAATCATTATGGTTTTAAAGTTCATTATAACCACATATATTGAAAGAACTCCTTACCAAAGGAATGATCTTTTCCTCTTCTCTGCATCTTCTCTTTAACCTCTCATAACAAACCTCAGGAGAAGTCTGCAGATAAACTGCCATAACAAAAATTATAATAGTTAGAGTCAAGGCTCAGCTTTAAAAGCAAAGAAGAAACTTAATTCACAAACTAGAAGGAAAGAATCCTGACTTGGGTACCACCGCTGAACCTCCCCTTTGGTGTCACTGTTAATCAATCCATGAACCATCCACAAATTCATGCTGTCTGATGCTACACATTGCAACCACTCCCATATTGAATAATGTGATTATTTATGACCCAACAAACAAGAATTATTTTTTCTCCCAGTAAGGAAACCTACCCACAAACATGCCCCTCCAGATGCCATTAAAATTTTACCTATCAAATCAACCGAAACATCAGTGTTCTTCTGGATCCAGTCAAACCATTCAGTTAGGACAGCATAATCCACCTCCGGCATTTTTCCACTGAATAAACAGAAAAGCCATCACTCACTGAACTGCACGCACAGATCAATTCTAAACTCATTTTTTCACCTGTCTAGAGTTACTCCCAGTTTATTCCAGCATATGTGAAATGAAAACAAGACCAATATTATGCCCACCCAAACTCAGGGCCTCATAAAGCATTGTCTATACAATAGAAACACCAAATCATTTTTTTTAAAAAAAGTACTTATTAAAACAAAGTTTCTATTATTAACAGTTACAACTATTAAATATTTTTCCCACTACACTTAAGAAATAATGACTTGGTGACTAAGAGGAAAAACATTACCACGTTGACATTTATACAGTAATAACCAATGGTATTTACTGCTCAAGTTCTTTATATCAAGATCATTTCGAATATATCTGAACTACTGCAGGCATGTCACCAGAAAGGCCTGATTTACTAAGCAGCACTGACAATTCATAATAGAAGCCACAGTAAAGAGCAGTGAAAAAATAATGACCCAGGGTAAATAAAATTTACTCCCACTGTAAGAAATACTTGTGGAAAGAGTACTGAAATACTCAACATGCTTAATTTGAACCTCTGTATTCAGAGAGCATAAGCAATATTGGAGACAACTGTCACAAAGCTATCTCAGTAAGAATAATAAAATATCAAATACTGATGTAAAAGGGAGTCTATAAATGACATATTCAGAATCACACATTATGTTTTACTAGTATTAGGATTGTCACTTATTTCCATATTCCTAAACAGTCAACTATTACTAGTTTTACATTATTCTGTCTTCAAAACTGGAGATAGTAACACATAC